CCCGCTCGCTCAGCGCCGCGGAGCTCAGTGCGGGGAGTTAGGTGCGTGGTACGGAGCGAGTCCGGACGGGCCGTTATGGTGACGGTCCTGGGAGCTCACGGTAACGTGAGTTGTTCAGAAAGAATCGTGTTCCTTCCTCTGAGCATCCGCAGTGTACCGTGCTGTCTTGCGCTCTTCCTTTTCCTGGCGCGGCTGCAGGTGTAGACATCTGTCAGTAGATGTTGCTTTTGAGTAGACCTAAAGAACTTGGAGCAACTTGTAAGACTCTTGCCTTGATTAGCACATAGGTGAAACAGTACCGGATCTTATTTCTCTGATGACCTGTACCAGAAGCTAGTGGTTAGGAGTTGTTATGTAACTCTGGAAAGCCGAGAGCAAAAGGGACTCGGGACACAGAGCGTCTGGAGACCAATGTGATCCCTCTCCACAGGGGAGGTGTGAGGAGGAGGGCTTCTCACTTACCAAACCCATTGTGACCTTCGCTTTTCTAATAAGGCGATTCTGAAACTGTTGAGTAGAGGACTCCTAGCTGGGCTCTAGAGCAACTTGGTAAAGGTATGTGATAAGACTTTTGAGCTGTTGATAAAAACTGCTTGAATATCAGAAACATATGGGTGCTATCTAGCTGCTCTTAGACAAAGCTATTAGAAAACCCCAAACATTCGGAGAACTACCTTGAATGTGTAAATAGAATTTTTAATCAGCATACTTAAATTTGCCATCTCAGCATTCTTTATAATTTATCAAGAATTAAACTATGCCACAGGATTTAGACAGCATGTTACTTCTGATAACTGAATGTCAGAAGTGACCCTGTTATCAGGACAGACCTCTCATTGAGTTCCATGTGGATGTGACACTGACAAATACAGAGTGTGACAGATGCTTTACCAACCGTGCAATTGCCTCTGAAACAAACATAGTCTTAAGACTGGAAATCTGCTTCTAGTTCTGTATAAACTGCCTCACAGGCAGTTACAGCGTAAACCTACTCCACTTGCTGTGCTATTGCAAAGGTCTGTCTACTTGTGAAACTGTTGCTGTGTCTGGGAAACTTCCTAGCCTGCTGCTCTCCCCTCTCTTCATTTTACTGTCTTCTGTAAAATATTAACTTCTGTGTGGTTTAGTTTGGTGTAAAGCTTTAAAAGTGATTCTTGATTAAGTGTAAGGTGTTACTACACCTCATGTGGAAACTAACTGCTGTTTCAGTCAACACTGTTAGGTATTGGCTTTCATTCTAGTGTTTCTAACAGTTTCTTGAATACTGAGTTGCTGGAAGACAGTCCATAGCTAATTAGCCACAGAAAAGCCTTTTTTAGTTGCCTTCCCTGCTCTCTTATTCTTCATCACAAGTATAGTAAGGGTTGGGAGGAGAAGATTGGCATTGAAGACTTCTACTAAACAGCTCTCCGCTTGTAAAATAGCCTCTGGCCAGTCCCCAGTTTGTGCAAGGTAATTTGGCTTTATCAGAAAGAGGTGGCATTAACTAGAGTTAATTAAGACTAATAGTGATCCCCCTGTTTTTGGAAGGGGTGAAGCCTGAGCACCCCTGTTTTGTAAAGGCTCTAACTCTCTGTGGCTCAGTGGTGTGGGTGCTGCACACACTTGTGTGCCCCTGGTAGATTACAGCTGTGATTTCTCCAGAGGGTTTTCCCCCGATCTTCCCTTGCCAGTCAGTATGCAGCATTCCTCAAAAGTAATCTTACAGGCACATAGAGGAAAACGCATTTTTCACAATTAGTACCATGTATGCAAGCTGCTGTTACTTTGTCTTTTAAAGGTCTTAACATGGAGGCTTTTTAAATAAACAGTCATTACTAAATATTTTTGAAATTTTTTAAGCTGAAGAGCATTCTAGCAGGCTTATTCTCATTTCCTTTGTCCTGCTCCATTCAATCTACTTTAGGTGAAGTACTGTAATAGAAAGTAGACCTCCCACCTTCCACCCCAAACTCAAAAAATGAAATCTCCAAGACTTAATACTTGCACTTTAAACACAACTGCTTGAGGACTTTGGTATATTTGGGTGAACTACAGTAGATTTGCTTTTGAAGTCTCTTCCTATAGCTTTGGCTTCTATGGTGGCAGTTACTTCTTTTCAGAAATGTGCCTGCAGGCATTAATGATAGTGAACTTAGCAGCAGAATGCCTAGAATCATGAAACACGGTTTAGAAACTAATGCCAACCTTGCACTGAATTTTTCCCCTAGCAGCCTTCTGCAATTTAAACTGCCTGTTTGTCCTTTACTTAAAGCTTCTGAATTGGATCAAAAAACTTCACAACTGAAGTTCTGAGTAGAAGCTCATATTAGGCAAAAAAGAAAAGAAGCTATTATTTATGGAAAAATGGGTTAATAGCTGATGTTTTTACTGCTTGATTGCTTTAAGAACTGAGATAGGTTATTTGCAGTTCCCACTAGTGAATCTGACTAATCTTGCTAATGAGTAAATATGCTTAGGTGCTTCCTTTGATAGCAAGTGTGGTGGGAAGGCATGTAGCAGTAGAAGTGCCACCAAGTATATATGGCTGGTGTAAGCAATCCTTCTGAAGATTAGGAATTTACAGCTTTTAATATCTTACAGTAAAAGTGATAGTCAGTGCTGCTCCTAGTATGTATGTGGGGTTTTTAGCTCAGGTATGCTTTAAGGAAACGAGTCTGAAAGCTACTTGTAATCTCCCGACAGAATGGCGTATTTTCCCTTCAAAGACTCTGAAGACAGCTTAATCTTGATTTCAATTAGTTGCTGCTGGAAAAAGTAGTGAGGTCCGAGTTCTGTGTCTAGAAAACAACACAGAAACCAAAGGCCTCTCTGGTAGTTCTTGTTAGTATAGTTACAACATGCAAATTTACTGTGCTAAGGATAGAATTAAAGCTGCAGGAGAGCTTTAGCTCTAGGTATACAGTGACCTAAAGCCAGAAAAATCACAGCAAGAGCTAGCAACTACACTGTAGCTTTTAGTGCTAGAACTACAGGTGTTTGAAACAAAACTATCCAAACTAAAAAAACCCAAAAAACAGTGCTACCATCCCAGTTACTATCATACACTTTTAGCTAGTTGTTTGTGCCATTGTAAAGCTGTACAGATGCTTAATGCATGACTTTATGTAGGGTGCTGACTCCAGAGTCCTTGAGTGAGATGCATACATGCAGAAGGAATGACTTCTACACTTTATCTCATGGAGAAGTGGAGTTGAAGTGCTTTGAGAAAGCAACCTTGAATTTCATCATGGTGGCTTTTTCCTGGAAGGTGAATGGCCATGGAATAATCTTTCCAAATATATATAGGCTTGTCTTCTCCTACAGCTCTTAGTATTAACTATGGTATGGTGCAAAGATGTGAGGAGCTTTCCAAATAGAAGCTAGGAAGGTCGTCTTTGTACAACCTGATTATCATGACATTATTAATGTGAGATCACAGTTGTTTCTGTGCCTAGAGAAAGGGAATTTACTGGACAGTACATACAGAGGAAGTTGTGCTCTTTTCTGTCCCTGAGTTCAAACTGATGCAGATTCTTTGAATTGTTAATCAAATAAAAAGGCATTCAGAATTTTAAAGGTAAAAACCTATGGGTTTGGCTGAGAGATCTTCAAGAGGAATCTTCAGGTTGCTGTTTTGCATTCAAATTTGGACTGGAAAATGTTTAGAAAGGGTAAATCAGTCTCATGCATCCTGGAGGTCCTAGTTCTCCATCTCTTAACACCTTCTACCTTGCCATATTGAAGCAAAATCACTTGAAACACAGGAGAGCTAAACCCAGCTAGATGTAACTATTTTTACCTAAACACTTTGTTTACACGTCCTGCCTCAAGGACAGGTCTGGCAACTTTCTGTTCTGTTTATATTTACTACTGTTAACATCTCAGTTGTCTTAAAGAGCTCTTCTAGTTAGTGATAATAAATACAAATAACCCCTTAGACTGGAAGGATGAGTCTGACAATATTCTTCATTGTGTGTAAAGTTAGGAGCAAGACTTATACAAGAAAGGATGGTCTCCCAGTTGTTAACTCTGTCCTTCTGTAAAGGATTCATATGAATTTATTCTAGAACTAGCTGTCATGACTAAGCTGAGTTGACTTGCTAGAGCAGAGGATGAAGAAACAAAACTGTCATATCTAATGTAATCAGCATGTTCTTCCTGGCCAGCTCTGCACCTTGAAACTCTCTGCTTATGCTCCTTACTGGCATCTGCTGTAGAACTTCACATATTCTAGAAGCATCAGCTGTGTGGGAGTTGCCAGTGACTGAAGTCACCCACTCATGGAGAGCATACAGGCCGGGAAAGTTCTTCCTAGTGCCTGCTGAGAAACAAGACTGAGGGAGACTTCAGTCTAATCTTTGTATAGTCTAATCTTTGTATAGTTTAACACCAGATTTTTCCAAAAGGTGGAAGTAGGGGTTAAATTGCCTCACAACTTTAAGCAAGTTGTAACCGTGTTATTAAGCAGTAATTGTGGTGTTAAACAGAAGTGTCCAAGAACAGTAAATAAGAATTAAGAAAGTACTATGCAGCTGTTCACACAAGGACAGCAATAAACTTCTAACTCCTCTGAACTGCTCCTGTGCATGCTTTGTTGCACCTTTCCAAACAGTGGACTTCTGGGTCCAGCAGTACTCAGGATCCCAAAAGAAATGAGAATGGTAAGAACCCAGGGTGTAACCTGCTAAGAGAAAGCCTTGTCTCAAGATGGAGGTCTGCACCCTTGAAGAGCCCTGTTTTTCACTCACATAGGAACTCGCAGACCTACCTGTTTTCCAGGTCAAACTGAGACCATTGTAGTCTGTGGCTGTTAAAAAGGAGGAGGGAGAAATATATTCTCTTAGAGTCCAGATCGATGTAGGTCTTTTGTTACCTGAATCTAACATCAAGCTCTTGTTTTCAAACTGCTTTCTCAAGGCTGCTTGCAAAGGTCTGTGCCTTGCTAGCTATTATGCTGAAGTCTAAAAACAGCTTGCCAAAAGATGGGGCAATACAGAGGATGGTGATATGGGAAGTTTCATTCCTTTGATGATAGACCTCTGATGCTGTCTACTCACTTCAAGTCTGGCAGAGGGGTGGCACTTGCAATGTTAGTCTCCAGTATTAAAAGCGATTTGCTAGGTGACAGTAACTGTTTAGTTCCAATGTAAGGTTATGTGCTGCACTGAACTGCTGTAGAGAACCAGTGCTAGCAGGTTGTCATTGCTGCCAGCAGTTGTGCAAGCTGCAGAAGAGGCTTAATGTGGACATGCAGTGCCTGCATGAGAAGCAAGATAAACCATCTTTCATGCTGATGCTGTACTGTTGTGGCTAGATCAAACAGTGCTGCAGTGCAAACATGCCCTGAGGAAAAAGAACTACATGCAAGTCACTCTTAATCATCCTCAGCTGATCACTCTGTGTTGAATAAGCATTGCAGAACTAAGATGATCATGACAAAAATCATAAGCCTCTCTGGCTGCGGTGGGCACACCATTCTGCTGAGGATGTGTGGTGTGGTTAGTTGTGCTTTTGTTTTTCTTATTTGGGCAAAATCAGTTCTGCAGGACTTGGTTGTATCAGGTACACTACAAGCTATTGGTTGCTGTATTTTACAGGGCTGGAAATGTAGCCAGAGTGTGTGCAGGTTAGTATGTGACACTGGACCCTAAGGACTCTCATGCTGAACTTGTTTTCAGTGGATGTGTCCTTGATGAAATGGCTACATGGCAGTGTGCATGGGTCTGCTGTTCCATAAGATGGTAGGGAATAAACTTGGTCTCTAGCTTGAATTCTGTTGGTAAGATACTGCACTGTAACTGCCTTGACTCTTTGATGTGGAAATACTGGTGAGAATTCAAGTGCGGTAGGTGACCCTCACAATGACTTAATCGTTCTGGCTCAAGGTTGGTTAAGACTGACTTCTGAGGGGTTTGTATTAAGATACTGCTGTTCCAGCTGAGAGACTGCAGCAAGGATGGCTCCATGTCCAAGTGCAGAGCAGTGACGAGTGCCGTTCCCCAGGGGCGGGGTTGGCACCGGCGCTGTTTAACATCTTGGTCGGTGCCGTGGACAGTGGGATCGAGGCACCCTCAGCAAGTTCACCAACGACACCGAGCTGTGTGGTGCGGGGACACGCTGGAGGGAAGGGATGTGCCATCCAGAGGGACTGGACAGGCTGCAGAGGTGGCCTGTGCAAACCTCAGGGAGTTCAACAAGGCCAAGGGCAAGGTCTTGCCCATGGGTCGGGGCAATCCCAAGCACAGACACAGGCTGGGCGAGGAGTGGATTGAGAGCAGCCCCAAGGAGAAGGACTTGGGGGTGTCAGTGGATGGAAAACTGACTGTGAGCCAGCAATGTGTGCTCACAGCCCAGAAAGCCAACCGTGTCCTGGGCTGCACCCAGAGCAGTGTGGGCAGCAGGGTGAGGGGGGGATTCTCCCACTGTGCTCTGCTCTGGTGAGACCCCCCCCTGCAGTGCTGTGTCCAGCTCTGGGGGCACCAACATCAGAAGGGCACGGACCTGCTCAAGCGGGGCCAGAGGAGGCCACAAAGATGATCAGGGGGCTGGAGCACCCCCCTGTGAGGACAGGCTGAGAGAGTTGGGGGGGTCCAGCTGGAGAAGAGAAGGCTCCAGGGAGACCTTAGAGCAGCCTCCCAGTACTTAAAGGGGCTACAGGAAAGGGGGGAGGGATTGTTGATCAGGGTGTGTGGGGATAGGATGAGGAGTAGCAGTTTTAAACTGAAAGCGGGTAGATTCAGATTGGTATAAGGAAGAAGTTCTTCCTTGTGAGGATGGTGAGACACTGACAGGTTGCCCAGAGAAGCTGTGGCTGCCCCCTCCCTGGAAGGGTTCCAGGCCAGGTTGGACGGGGCTTTGAGCAGTCTGGGCTAGTGGAAGGTGTCCCTGCCCATGGCAGGGGGGGTGGAACTGGATGGTCTTTAAGGTCCCTTCCAACCCAACCAGCCTATGAAGAGCCTTTCCTGGAAAGGTATGTGGCCTTCCAATAGACTGGCACTTAGAGCAGCCAGAAGATAGTCCTGTTACTCCACTGGCAGTCAGTGGCTGTGTGTCAGCTGATGTTAGAACCACTAGGGACTATATTGTACCTGAAATTGTAATACGGAGTCCTAACCTGATTCCTACAGCAGTCCAGAAATATGTTCCTGGGTAGGACTGGTGGTATCTTCTAAAGTCTTCCATGAGTTTCTTTTGTTAAAGAGCTAGTATAGTAGGAAAGAAAATGTAATGACTGACTGTCTTATGTCCCATCTGGAGATATGTAAAGCTACCAATGTTGTAAACAATTAACTTTGAAATTTAAGGCAAGGCTCACATGACCCCTTAAATAATGTTGTGACTTTGGAAGTAGCAGAAGACATTCCCTACACACTTTTGTCCTCCCAAACTCTGCAGCAGACTAAGGAAGTCTTGGAGCTCCTCCTCTCTCCCATTTTCCTGCCTGCTGCCTCTGTTCCAATTTCAGCTGCAGTCTTAACACATTACCTTGCTCTTATGGTTTGAAAGCCACTAAGAAGAGCAGAAGGTTAAAATAATCTTCCCCTTGCTTTGTTAGTCTTCAATAAATCTAGCTCTACCTACTTCTTATGAAAAACGCATATAAAGCAACATCTGTTTTTATCAGCTCAATGAACAACCAATTATCATGTAGTCAACCCTTCTGAACAAACCAGTGTTAGACAGGCTTATAGTAATGCATTAGCATTGCAATTGCCTTTGTAATTAGCTTAACAATCCTAGAACTGTTAGTATGTCAGAAGGATGTTTATAAATTACATTTTAAAAATGGGCCAGACTTCTGACTTGCAAATGTACTGTGTCTGTAGGATTGTTAGGAAAACTAAAGGTTGCTGAATTGCTACCTTGTCATGGATTTGAGAGGCCACCCATGATTTAGCATTTGTATTAAATAGTCTTAAATCTCTATACTAAACTGTATAGCTTCTGTACAGTCTTATTACATGTCTGTCTTGTCTCCTAGTAAAAATTGCTACCTCTTAGCAGGCTGACCATGTGTTATTTTGACAAGCACATCAAGAGTTGAAATAAGTTTAGCTTTCATTTTGCTTTAGTTTGATGTGGAAACCTGCACCTTCAAAGGCACTTTGTTGAAGAAATAGCTTAAAATGAGTGCAAACTGTGGGAGTGCAAGACGCTCCGAGCACTGAATGCAAGAGTGCCACTGTGAAGGACACCGACCATGGAGATAATGTTGCTGACTATGGTAAAACTGTGTAACTTCATCGTGTGTTTATTTTTTATTTTTTCCACTGTAGGAGTTTGAAGATGCAGCAAGCCTGATAGAGAGGACAGAAGAATCTCCTTGACATCAGACTATCTGAAATACTGACCATGTCTATTATGGATCATAGCCCCACCACTGGCGTGGTGACTGTTATTGTTATTTTGATTGCTATTGCAGCTCTTGGTGCCTTGATACTGGGCTGCTGGTGTTACCTGCGTCTGCAGAGGATCAGCCAGTCTGAAGATGAGGAAAGCATTGTGGGAGAAGGAGAAACCAAAGAGCCCTTTCTTCTGGTGCAGTACTCTGCTAAAGGACCTTGTGTAGAGAGGAAAGCTAAGCTAACTCCAAATGGCACAGAAGTACATAGCTAACTTGGAGCAACACACAGATATGGACTATGCTTATGATGTGTGTAACCAGCAGCAGAATCTCTATACTGTGAAGAATCTGGTCACATGCATGCTACTCAGCAAACACCCTGATGAGGATTAAATAAGCTTTGATTGCAACTGCATGCACTGAGAAGTTGCACTTTGCATCAACTGTGTGTCCTAATTCCTCTGACAGGAGCTGACTCACCTGGTGTAATGTCCATTGCCGGCAATGGACGCAGGGATATATTGGTGTGAAGAGACTACTGGTGTGTTTTGTTACTTGAATGTTTAGCTGAGCCTATTTTGATGGATCTACTACTGTAATGTGAACTACTTTACAACTGTGAACTGTAAATAGGCTGCCAGAAGCTTTCTGCTTTGTGTTCCACATCATATGGGAATATGATGCAACTGTCCATAACACACAAGGGGACCCCTGAACCACAACTGTAGATGGGATTCCAGACCTTCAAAACCAAATCTGCAGTTAAAGCTTGCTTCTGCTACTAACTTGAGTGCAACAGTCAAAGTCAACTCCTGCTCTTAACAGTTTATTGGACTGATGCAGAATACTTTCTTTGAAAACCAGGTATAAGCCTTCAGTAATGTGTTGAGGGAGGAAATACAGGAGCTACAAGAAAGGAAGTGATTGCCTTTAGTTGCAGCTAGGTGGGTTAAGCTTTTGGCTGTTAGAACTGAGTTCTCTATGTAGCTACTGCAAGGAAACTGCCATTTTGATGGATTCCAACCTGGGAACTAATGATGGATACTGAACCCTCAGGGTTGGTCCAGAAGGTTTCCAGGAGTTAGAAATGGTAGCAGAGCAGGTGGGTTTTTTTTCTTCTGTAGGTCTGCATGCTGAAACTGCAGAAGTGGTTACTTATTAAAACTGGTATAAGTACAACTAGTATGAATTTTTCCTAGAACCCCATAGCAGTTAGGGTGTATGTTAACAGCCTGTTGTAAAAAGAAGGCATTTTAGTCTACAGACAGTCAACTTATAGAATTCAGTTAATGTATCTTGTAGATAACTCTCTTGATTTAACTGTACTACTACAAGATAAGTTTCAGTCTTTTCCTACAAAAACAAATGCTGATATGGGCAAGAGATTGCTGGTCAGTTTGTAAAGGTTTGTAGCTTCCAAATAAGGACATCCATTTCCTGCTCTGTGCTACAGTTCAGCTATAGACACTGTAAAACCATGTGTTAAATTGGGAGTTTTGGGCCTCAAAGGCTTGGGGGAGGTGAGGGGGCAGAAAGGGGAGGAGAAGGAACAACACTGAGCCACCAGTGGCAGCTTACCTATTCTCTTAGGGTAGGCACACATGCTTTGAGGCCACTGACCTGTTTTCTATGACTTTGTACATAGCTTCCTTTGCCTATTGAAATTTTTAAACAAACTGCCTAGGAGGAAAAAAAGTTACGTAAATCTGTTCCCTTAGATAAATTACAAATAATGAAGTCCAAGTTCTTCAGCTCTACAGGAAGCATTAGACTTGCTTCTTGTACCTGTGCATATGGAACAACTAAGTAACGCAGGCCTAGCAAGCTTGCTCGAGAATTATGACTGTATGGCAGACAATAATGGCCTAGGAAAAAAAGTCTTGTCCCTTTCTTCTACAGTAAGATGCTGACTTGCATTTTTAGTGCTACATTTCCTTTTTTCAATTGAAGGCTATAATTTGAAGCAAAATTAACACTGTCAGTAGCAAAAAGCTCCTGCTGTTGCCTCTTGAGTACAATATGGGATACAGCTGATTAGAGGGCTGTTCCTGTCCTGGCTTTTTTTTTTTTTAAGATACTAGTCTCATGAGACTTGCATGTATAGCCAGACCCATATGCTTACACTGCTGTATTTTAAATCTTTTACAAATCAAGGAAAAAAGGATTAATTCAGTAAGACTTTTAGTTTTCAGTAGAGAACAGTTCACACATGGCTCTTGCAGGTTTCAAGACAGTCAGATAACTGGTATACAAAAGTGATACAAAGTGCTGAAGTTCTAGAACAGAATAGTTGTAGCAAGATGACTTTTGTCCATTCAAGTTTACTGATTACACAGATGAAGTATCTCTATTTTAATGCAGCAAAGAATGCAGTGTGAAGGGTAAACTTCAATATTATGGAAAAGTATAAATCAAAGGTCTAATTTCTCTTCTAGCAGCTGTAAGAGAAAGCCAGTGAAAAATAACTGGTCCTTAGAGGTGCTTCACACTGCCCCTAAAAATCAGCATCTTTAATTTAAATGGATAGGTGTTTGCAAGTTAGTGCAATAGTAAAGTGCAGAAAGTGTTTTCCATTCTCCTCTTCTCTTTAGATGTGGGTATCTAATAAGTTGTTCAAGTATACAAAAATACTCCATTTGATTTTTCTTTTTCTAGCTCATGTGGGGGAAGAAGTCTTATTTACAATGAATTTCAATAAAATTTGCATAAATACCTACCCAATACTGCATCATTTGACTTTGTAAGCAATCATTCTGTCCTGTTTCCACTACTGTGCTCTGTCTCTATGGTATCAATATTATCAATCCTTTTTTCCTCTAACGTGGCAGTAGCTGTTGAAACTGATATATCATTCTCTTCAGAAAGTGTTTGCTCTGACTGAAGGGATTCTTTAATTTCATCTTTGCTCTGCAGCCTTCCTTCCCTTGATGCCACCAGGATTCTCAGTAAAGTATTTTCTTTGAGAAGGTTTTCTGATGCATCTGCTAACTCTTGAAGCTTTTCAGCCATTTCTAATAATTCTTGATTTTTCTGGTCATATGTGGCCTGTAACCGTTCACTGTGGAGCTGCAGAGTCTTGTGCTGCTTTTCCAGTGCGTGCTTTTGCTGCTGTAGCCTGTGTTCCTCTCTCCTAGCTTCAGAAAGCTGTGCTTCAAGCTGGTCATGGGCCTGATGGAGGGCACTGATTTCTGATCTTAACTTCTGAATTTCTCTCTCTAAGTGGGAGATGTGTCCTTGCTGCAGAACTGTCTCTTTATGTAGGCATTCTTTGGTACAGGGCTCTGATGAAGACAGTCTTGAGTGATGTAAAATAAATTTAAGGAGATTAGGAAGGTTAACCGAAATGTCTTCAGGGAACTTCACACTTTGTTCTTTCCTAGAAAGACATAACAAGTTAATATTAAAACATGCAGATAGGTAAGCAATGATAATTTTATCTAAGCATTTGCTGTTCATCTCTAATTTGGGATCTTGTTTTTTATTAGAATGGTTAGTATAGCAGCTAAGAGAAGCTTGAACTCATGTAATAAATACAGAGCACACAGTATTTCCTTATGATGAACCCTTTTACCTCTGTTCCAGTCTGGGTGCTATAAGCATCTCTACACTGGATTGGTATTTGTCTGAAGCAAAATTTGTCAAATTTCAGGAAAGACTTTAAGAGTAAAATTTACCCTCATTATGAGTTTAAAGTACATATGGTAGCATCACTGTTGGGCAGGTATCAGTGTACTGATACTAACATTTGTTAGTAACGTGAAGGAGAGCACTTAAGTGTTCCTAATTCTGTATACACTGTTAGAAGTTAAGTCCAGATGTATACAGCTATCTGAGAAATTACTATTTTGAGCCTAGATGTTATCCTGGAAGATGTAGCTTAATGTGTTCCAAAATCAGAAGGGTATTGCAAGAAGCAGAAAAGTACAGTTTGCTTTTAAACAACAGTCACTTTAGTCAGAAGTAAGGCCTTTTTGCTGTCAAAAATCCAAATCTTTTTACTTGTCTTTATGCCACTGAGGTGATCAAGTTTGGGTTTTTTTCTGAAGTTCATTATATAGCTGTGAATATTCTGCCCAGAATATGAAGTGGTAGGCCCACTGCCTTCTGCAGCAGCACAAACTGTTACTCTTAACCTGATAGTGGTCTTCAAGCAGCTTGAACTCTTTCTTCAAGAACACTAACCACCAAAAGACACTCACAACCTCCAGCTGTGTCAAATGCTAAAATTATTGCCCCTTTTGGACCATGTGTGTATGTCTATCACAAAACATAGGAAGCTAAACTGTCCTCTGAGGACTAGACAGGAACTAACTCCTAACCTTCTTTTTCTGAACCAGTTATGTCTTCAACCTCTCACTTGGCATGTATCATGTGAATTTGCTGCCTCCTCACTATTGCAGTAGTGACTTAAACATCCTGAAATATAACTGGGAAGATAGATAATAGTTTATCACTTTGGATCATCTTTAGTCTTTGCCAGTCAGGAGAATATTCTCTCTTTCATTAGAGAGCCATCAGGATGAAGAAAAGCTTAGCTTACTGCCCTTTGGTTGTCAAATTCATAACTAGATTAATGGTATGAGGCATGCATTCAGATATGGGTTAGTTACACAAGTCAGAAAAAGTACACAGGATAAACCCAAACAAAAATTATTCCACAGCAAGAAAGCCAGATTTAAGTATAATGCCTCAAAGTTTACCACTGCTGCTCCTGTACAACACACACCATGGACAACTCCTATGTCCCCATGTGTGACTTGTTTCTGAATTGCTTACACTGTGCATCTGGAACAGGGGAGTTACTCGGTTACCAATTGTGGTCCTTAAATCAGGACAAGCTATGAACTATATATATAATGCTATTCCTATACCATGTAAATTCAGAGGTTTTGCTTCAGATATTAGCATCTCCTTTAGAGAGCTTATAAAGGCCAAAAGTATTTCAAGTCATTCTCTCTGCCACTGTTAGACTAGTTCTTAGCTGATGGAACACTTCCATGGTCTATGCAGATTGCCAAAGAATTCTATATCCAAAATACAGGTACAGCTAAACATGTATACATTCCCCCCAAAAGCCAAACATCAGAACAATGAAAGAAACACAACCTGAAAGAACTTCAGTTTGAGCAATTAACACTCTGAAATCCCTCTGATTACATTACACTCATTCTACCACAGAGGAGGGAGGGAGAAATAAAAATTCACAGATTAGAACTACTGTAATATTTCCAAAGGATGCATACTCATTTAAGTACTCTGATTCCCTACATATATATATTTTTTAAGACAAATTTTTAACCTTAAAAACACGTAACGATCTCCTCTCCCTCTGTCATGTCAGAATTTAGGTTTTGTCCTCTTAAATAAGACTAAGCTTAGGCTGCATTAGTTAC